AATTGTGTGTAATTTTTAGAATATTTGTTTTTCAAAATTGTTCTCTATATTCTAAACTATTTGACGTTCCAATTTTTTCAAATGCTATCTTTAACTTTCTCTCACTCAAAATCTCTTTCTCTCTCTTAGCTTAGTGAGGAGTAATTTAGTTGTGATAAGAATGAGAAAACATTTTGAGTTTCCGGCTCTTTGTGTCATGTATAAACTCTCTTAAAATTTCTCTTATTAACGGTACAGTCTGTTTCCAAATTGCTATCTTCACCGTGCCAGTAAATAGTTATATTTCATTTGTTTGGAGTGGCTTTGTGGCAGGAACCTTAAGGAGAATGATATCAACTGGTTCAGTGTTTCTGTGGTCTAATTTTCCAGTAGCTTGAGGCTGTGTCGTTCCTACTAAAAAAGCTAAATCCCTAATGGTTATCCTGATTGTTAATCATGTCTCAATTGTGGTATCACCTTCAATCCTTGGAGCTTCATATGTGCTCTCTGTTTGGGGTAGCTTCATCTCACTTCTCAATTTATGGACATCAAGTTTAGAGGACTTCACCGTATCTTTGGTTGTTTAAGTATAATGGTTTCTGTCTATTAATTTCTTGCTTATCTTTCTCTTACTTTAGCACCTGCTCTTTGTGCTGGGTTTAACTTTGTTATTTCATATTGTAAATATATTGTTTCTCTAGTTGAAGCGTGATCTATCCATCTATAAAGATCACTTGACTGCAAAACAATTATTACTCTTTAACATAAAAGTATTTTGTAAATTTGGTATTAGTTTTCTTGCTTTAGAAGTACTACAACAATCATATACTATATTCTTATATTTTGATAGTGGTTAATCTAAAGATAAATATTTGTTAAATTGCTGATTGGATAGTGAATTTAAAATTAATTATTTGTTTATAATATATTGTTATTCAAGGCTTGGTTTTAATTTTTGTTTTCAAAATTAGTGTTATTGGTTATTGTATTCAAAATATTTTTACTAAATGATTTTAAAATCTATTGTTATTAGTTCTTATATTCAAAATATTTCTAATGAATAAATTTTAATTCCTTTGTTATTCAAATAAAGATTTAAATACACCAATTTAAATTTTGTATTATTCATGTTTGTTAGATTCTTATAACTCATTTGACTCGAAATATTTTGAATGGATTTATGTGTAAAACCTTTCTATATATGAAAATCTTAAATTTTAACTTCAGATTTATAAAACCGAAACTTATCAAACAAAAACTTCTAACATCAAGCTAGCTAATAGAGGTGTTCAAAACCAAAGCTGATTAATGGACAAAAGAAAACAAAATATAATAGAAGGAACATCATCCATGATAAATCCTAATAAAAATTATTAGTTTTTTCATCAAACAAAATAGAGAGAGCATATATAAAAATTATTTGTTATTCATCAAACCTATTTTTCCAACAGAAAATAGATTTCGTTCTTGGACCAACCCAGATTTTTCTTGTGTCAAATTCATTAAGTTAAAGTTTTCCCGACATAATCTCCTCTTTTGATAATTATATGTGCTCTTTAATTTTTAATTTGTTGATTCACATGGAATAACATCATTTTTCGGTCTCAACAATGTACATATTACTGTCGTACATCTACTCACTGAGATGATTTTAAAAGGTCAAATTCCAGATGATTTTGGAAACTGTGCTTCTCTTGCTTATCTGTAAGTCTTACTTATAAAACATATCTCAATGTTTACATATGAGATTTATATGCTCGATTGTACATGGATTCCTCTGATAATCTGTTATATTGGAACACATCCTTCTCAGTCTCTAAAACTCAAACACTTTGTATGGGTAAGACTCATAAAAATCTGTGTGTTTATTTTTACTTCACGTCCCATGTATGTTTTCTCATATATTTTTTGGACCTTCCAACTTGGACACAATATGAACTTTAAAGAACAATCAGCTCACAGGCCCACTACAATGACGTCAAGGTGTTTTTTTTTTGTGTGCACAGACCGTCAAGATGATTTAGATGCAGTAGGATGAGTATTAGAACTGTTTGGAGTTAAATCATTTCTCATCAGCGAGTGAAAGTGCATGTGCCATGTGGAGATGAATTGAGGACGTAGCTATTAAGCTGAGAGTGTGTGTCAGTATCGAGGCTCTCACATCGACGTAACCTGCGCAATTTGGTGTAATATATGATTTGAAACAATATAGAATCTTAAGAAGAACATTATTTTTTGTTTCAAAATACTTACTCTTTTGAAAAACCCTGAGTGGCTTCCAGGGTCGGCCCAACCCTGCAGGGGCCCTATTCCAATTTGGAAAATGGGCCCTTTTCCCTTTATAAAAAAAAAAAAATTTATCTAAACCTAAAAAGGCCAAAAAAATTTTTAGGCCCTAGGCAATGGCTTACTTGACCTATGCCCTGGGCCGGACCTGGTGGCTTCGCTTTCATTGTCAAACTAAAAGTGTGTCCCTGAGGTAATATTTAGGAATATATGACCTAAAATAAGACCACATTTAGGTAACTCAAAGAGCATCTGAACTGAAGAGTACTTATTGGGTGAAGTTATTTGTCTGTGATTTATGATGAGTTACCTGTAGAAAGAATGAGAAAGAAGGAGAACCGTCGACAGTTATACACAACACTATCGTCTTTTAGGATTGTGCCCTCCAGCGAGCTTACTTACTGAGCTAATGGGTCAAATAAAATTAGAAAACCTGGATAAATAAAACAGGCTTGTTAGCCCACTAACAAACAGACGACTTTAGGGGCTAACAAACAGACGATTTTAGGTGTTTAATTAGAAGACACGTGTAATTATTCCCCTCAAAGAGAGATAAAAACCCAACTTTATTATTAAAGATTCTCTTAATTTGATTGGTTGGTAATATTTGAATTTTTATTTATTTAAATCAAAATTTTAAAAGGAAACTAATAATTGAATTACCTAATCTAACCTATGTTACCAAATAAACAATCAATTATCTTAAATTTAAATGACTTAACATAATTTTTTTTGTTGAAACAATTGATTATCATATATTAAATTATAAGAATTTATAATATAAATATAAATACTATATAAACGATTTTATAAATATTATATTTATAGTGGATATAATAAATCATAGATTGTGGAAACTAATAAATAGAAACCTAATAATATTTCTACTCACTATATACATATGTTATAAAAATGTGCCAAATGAATGCAACGAGGTCAAATATATAATTTTAAAAAATTTCAGTCATTGTAATTGTCAATGTGATATTATAGTTTAGTTATCACTTTTATAAATGATTAGAATATTTTTTATGTTGAACATTATATAACAAATATGTGAGAGAGGGAGAGGGAGAGATGGTGATGATGAGGATGAGAGTGAGAGTGAGGGTTATGATAAGGATGAAGATGAGAGTGAATATAAGTGAGAGACTGAATGTAAGTAGATAGATTTTGAAATCATTTATTAACACTATGTGAGAGATTTTGAAGATTTAACAAGATATGGTGAAAATTTTGCAACCGAAAGAGGGATAGAGAGAGTTTGAAAGTGAAGTATTGAAAGTTATAGTGAGGATGAGGGTAGGAGAGTGAATATAAGTGACTCTAAGAGAGTGAATGTAAGTTTAAAAGATTTTGAGATTATTTGATCAATTGAGAGAAAGAAAAAGGAGAGAGAGAGAGAGAGAGAGAGAGAGAGAGAGAGAGAGAGAGAGAGAGAGAGAGAGAGAGAGAGAGAGAGAGAGAAAGAGATGTATAAAGAGAGACCGGGTACATATACGTGAAAACAAAAAAAGATAGAAAGATACAAAGAAAAACAGAGTACCTGTGAGAGAGAAGTAGAGTTACAGTATATTTATATATTCACATTAATTTATATACATGTAATATATGGATTATACTAATGTTTGCACTGGTGTACGGGCCGGGCCGTCCACCTAGTAAAAATTAAAGAACCATCAACCAATCAAATTATAACAATTAATTTAACAACTCACCTATGAATGACATGTGTAAAAACGCACTAAAATGACTTTTCAGTTAATATATAAGAAGATAGGTTTTTCTGATTATAGCTAATTTTGATTTATTTTTAATCCTAATTACACTAGAAACCCTATCTAAGGGCAAGATTATCAGGAGGGAGGAGGGGTATTTAGTGGGTTTCTTAGGAGGGTGGGGGCCACAATAAGAAAGAAAAATTTGGTTGTAGAATAACCAGAATAAGGACCGGTTTTCGCTGGTTTCTTGCACTGTTCATGGACTCCATTTACACGTGGTGGTCTGCGTTTGATTTGTTTTTATTTTTTTATTTTTAATTAGACAAAAAAAAGTAAGAAACTCACTTGACTTTCAACGTTAATCATGGTCCAAGCAACCGGGATAATCATGCTCTTAATCTAGTAATAAGGTTGTCCTTATGGACCAATAAAAGCTAAAGATAGAGAAGCAGCTGGGAATAAACAGGTTGAAATTTATAAATTTTCAGCAAATACTTTTAAACTAATTTAATTCGTGTGTTCAGTAAACATAAAATAAACTCCATGATGATTAATTAGTATAACTGGATCATCTGCATATTCCCAACCAAAAAACAAAGTTTTTTTAATGTAATATTTTCCAAGATATACATCCATTGGATGAGTTCACAATAGCAAACAAAGCTTTTACGGTTCATGTTAGCAAGCAAATTTGCAGAATCCCACTGATTTGGACCAAAAACAAAATTTACAAGCCAAGAAACCAATTACTTCACAAGCAAACCCATATACAACTCACTTTAACATAAACTTTGATTCTTATGGTATTTCCTCTTCTCAAGAAACCAAACAACAAGTCAACATAAATAATAATTATTAAATTTAACATCTTACCTAATGAAAAATATGGAATATATATATATATATCCTAATACTTGAAACTTTCTTTCACCAAGTAAGAGAAAAAAAAGTTGTCCATTGGCTCATTTCAAATCTGTTGTAAACACTCCAAAGAAAGAATTATAAAACAGCATATGAACCGAACCAAACTGAAGCAAACTAAAACGGAGGGATTCTCATTTAATTAGGATGAATTAGACTTCCAAAAAACCTGTCATCCTAAGAACGGAGTTACGGTGACGATTCAACTCTCTTCCTTTGAGGGTACAGAATGAAAACGCCATTTGCCCCTCCATTTTTCGTTTTCCGATGATGATATGGGGCGGAGTCATTTCTCCCGCCTCCTCTTTCTCTTCCTCAGTACGCCGGGAAATAGTTCTCGACGGAATTATCACCGGAGATGACTTTTTCTCCATAGCGTTCTTCTTTGTTTTGCTGCTCTCGTCGTTGCTACTCTTTCTGTTGTTACTCGTGTAATATTCATCGAAAAATATAACCTCAGATTCTTCAAATTCTTCTGACATTTAAGATTTGCCAAGAACATAAGGGAATGTAGGACAAGAAGACACAACTACGGGAAAAATGAAATTTATATATAGACCTAGACACCGCAAAGTGAACCAATGTTTTGCATATATATATGTGCGAAGTGTCTGTATACGTGTAAGTATTAATATCTTGTGTTGCATCAGATGACCTCATCGTGAATGTGTTTGAGTGAAGTCAAGGGATTCGATGTAATAGTTAATTAATCATTAAGGATGTGACTATTATCGTAAATTGCACTAGTCTTCATACACTTACACATCAATTGCCATATAATAATCGGATATTCCGTGTGGGTATGTAATTAATTAGTAACATCAGTAGTTCATTTGATTCAAAGTTCCTCACAAATGACGTTTAGGAAATTTGCATAACTATTAGAAACAATCACACAATGTAAAATAGTAGTACTATAATTTTCAATGTTTTCTACTTTTAATTTCAGAAAAGACATACTATAGATTTCATATGTATACCTTTCCAGAATTGTGATATATATACATTATCTTTTTTTTTTTTGATGAAATTTGAAATTTATTGATCGATCAAAAAAGTTATTTTTGATATATATACATTATCAAAAATATTTCAACTTTAAAAAGAAATATTTAGGATATAAATTAGGGTGGAGCAATAACATAAATTTAAATACAAATATTTATAGTGAATTAAGTACTAATAAATATTTTAGTAAATTATATATAGTTCCAAGTTTTTAACATTTCTTTTATCTGTCATTGAATCTAATGTTTAAATAAAGATACTGTGAATTATGTATATCTGTCTTTTAACTAAATCATCTGTTGATGATTATTAAATTAGGTTTATTTACATCTTCAGGAAAAAATATTCATTGACACTTACGAAATTTCAATGATTGCGAAGCTGAGTCGGTGTAACGCTACTGAACGCAAGTGCTGCGCGTTTCGTGGCTACGCGGTTACTCACTCAACGCTATAATATTCCACTCGCGCGCTAACTTGAATCATACGGTGCCGTGTCCGAATTATCCAGAACTGCGGTCGTTCTCGTTGGCGATTACGTGGCGGAGTTAACTAACGACCAATAATTTGTTGCTTTCGGAGAAGAAAAAGGAAAAACATCAAATGTGGCTTTAAAAGTCATCTTTTAAATTGTAGAAAAAAACTGCATATTAATGTTGATTCTAAGGGAAACAAACTATGTATATGATTATTACTAATGTGCGCTATCTAACAATATTAAAAGACAAATATCAAGATCTCTAAGCCATGCTACCTTAGCTGGAAAAAATAATCACTTAGATATTTTTTTTAGCCACGTAAACTAAACTTAAACTAAAATTAAACTCTTTTCTGACGACTGAATTTCTTTGGTTTTTCCTATCTTTTCGTCTTTTCGCTAAATAGTTAAGATACGGTGATCAATGGATTCATCTCCAGCTGCTCACACCACTCACTTTCGTCCATCTTTCCCAGACGGTTCCATCGTCAAAGTTGCAAGCTTTGAAGTTGCAAGATGCCCACATATGTACAAGATATAGAGCATACTTTCGTGATCCGTTCATCCCCCGACAATTGTTAATGCTGTCATGATCAATGTCCCGGTGATCAACCTCTAGAAATTAATGGTCCGAAAGTATGACCATCTCCAAATTCTTGCCAACACTAACTTTGAACTACCAGGTTTGTTTTCCATCTACATCTGCTAATTTAAATTGGTTTGTTTCCCATTGATGCTTGCTAATTTAAATGATTTATAATTCTATATGATCTGGTAATGAAACCTGAAGTAGTTCGCGTGGCTGATGCTGTCGGTCAGATTCGTTCTTTGCAAGGTTCTGACCTTAAGGACCCTGAAGTGATGTCTCGACTTGTGTTCCGACTTGTGTTCCATTTCCTTTTCCTCATTGCTCCGTAAGCCCACAAATAACTTTAACTTTCACAAAATTTTCTCCACTACATCCTAATTGTAATAAGTTTATAAAACTAACATATAAAATGATGGTTGTCTAGCCAGGTTTAGGGGTCTCCTAAACTCAGGTTAGAAAAAAAAATTTGTCATGGTGGTCACAACTGTCAACCCCAAAACATTTGGAGATAAGTTATATATTGAAACTTCTAAATTTGGCTTAAAACCATATTTAACCAAACACTCTTCATACTACAGGTAATCTGTACCTCAACTCGACCCTAGCAACCAAGTTTTTTTTTTTGACACCAGCCTCCTAACCATCAAAGAGTTCACAGACAGGTGACAATTCCTTATTTGTTGTGGAAGTCGGAATATTTAAATATGTGCTAACTTCTCTAACGATACCATGTGCTTCCAGCTTAGGAGGTGCAGTAGGGGAGGATTTCCCATCTGTTGCTAGCAATGAAGGGATGGAAAAGAAAGAGCATTCATGATTCCAACAAAATTTAAGATCATGGAAAAGAAAGAGTGTTCATCTCCAACTCATATACTGCATGCGAATGGTAGTGACTTCCCAAAGTTCCTTAAAGAACTTTCTGGGAAGGATTTAGTTTTCCAGATGCGTGTGACTCCATACATTTTCACCCTAGACCACCACACCTTAACCGTTTCCGCAATCACTCCCGTGGTATTATACTTTATATGCTTAGAAAGTTTCATCTTAACGTAACCTTTGGCATCCAGGTTAACAAAACCACAACTTCATGTTTAGATAGTAAAACATAGCCGACGTTAACATAGAGGATCGAGGTATGTTGTTAACAACACAAACATCCTCGAAACAACACTCGCTTTCAAGCTTTTACATTCCTTAACTGATCTACCAAACTCGAGAAGGTTTACATAAAGATTACTGATGTTTGTGATCATGTCTCTCGCGGTATTGACTTGAATTAAAGAGAAGGTGTAATGATTTTTATTGAAAAGAAAGCGGATAAGGTCAGTGTAGAGAGGGTGGATGAAGCAAGGGAAGTCGTGGAGGATGGTGGAGAGTTTGTTGCAGAAGATGAGTTGCGTGTTGGTGACTTGGCGGGTGTAGAGATTACGGAACGGTTGAGTTTGAAACCTGAGGAGGAAACTGAGAACATGTAGAATCGGAACTACACTTGCGGGTGTATTTCACCGACATCTCCTGGTCCTGCCGAATCAGAACTACACTTGCGGTTAATCAGTTTCTGGGAAGCGAGAAACACAACTAGATGTGGTCTGCTTATTGTTTGGAGCTTCTCAGTCCATCCATCCAAATAAATCTTGTTAACCACTTCTTGCTATCTTTTTCTAACGTAAAATTCTTCGCATTAAAACCACAAAATGGGTGGTTTGTAAATTTGTCGTTTCATCGCTCTAATGTCACAGAGAGAAACTATTCGAATTTACATTTACATTTTGTGGCACTATCACAGGTTTCGCAGTGTCATTTCCACTAATCTCTAAAAAAATAACACACACATTTCTTATTTCCACTAACCTCTCAAAAAATAACACACACACACATTTCTTATTTCCACTAATCTCTCAAAAAATAACAAAATGGGTTACTATGATCAAATTTCAAAAAAATAACAAAATGGGTTACTATGATCAAATTTCTTAGTATTTTTGATTCTTTTTCACTTTCGATGACACACACACACACTAGATAAGACTAGAAAAACAAAAAGTAGTAACTCATTTTGTTATTTTTTGAGAGATTAGTGGAAATGACACACACACACACACACATTTCTTATTTCCACTAATCTCTCAAAAATAAGAAAATGGTTTACTATGATCAAATTTCTTAGTATTTTTAATTCCTTTTCACTTTCGATGACACACACACATTTTGGATAACTTTGTGTTTTTCTAGTCTTATCTAATGTGTGTGTGTGTGTGTCATCGAAAGTGAAAAAGAATCAAAAATACTAAGAAACATACGAAATACAAATTTAACACATGCGACTATATGATATTTCTGCAGGTGCAGCCAAATCGGAATGGAAGCCGAAGTATAAATAAGAGCTATGGACAATAGTTTTGAACAAGAAGAGCAATAAATTACACTCATGTGTTTAGTGTTCATGACATTTGATCATAGTAACCCATTTTGTTATTTTTTGAGAGATTAGTGGAAATGACAGTTTAGGAAGTAATTGCGGTATGAAACCAAATACACAAATAAATAGACACTGGAACTATAAGGCAAATAATATAGCACACTATTATTTACGACACAGAAATAGAACATCCTCTAGGTGAAGACCCCTAGTACAAACTAATAAGTGAATACAGAATAAGGTTCGAATGAAGTATCTTTCAAAATTTAAACATATGACAAAAAGCTGAGTAGATTAAAAATAATTAATTAAGTTATTACAGAGTAAAATATCGAGGAGTTTCTTGAAGTATAATAGAACTGTTAATATCTTTGGTATTTATCTGGTTTTGGTTGAGTGATTCCAAGGAAAACTAAAAATTGTTGTTATATTTCTTGACAAAACAACTTTATCCGTGAAGTTGTCGCAAAAGAAAGTCTTCATAATTGATGGATAATTATTAGTGAGCAAGGCATATAACAAAAAAGGTTACTGGAAACGATTGGTTCCATCAACCTATATCATAGAGTTAGAAGTTTACACTTTCGATTGAAGCTAATTTTTTTCATTAGGATTATAGCGAAATCATCCAACGTAATTTTATCAGGATAGACATCTTTTTCTTTTATTTTGATTATAATCGTTAAATCTTGCAAACTAATATAGTTAACCTTTAGGTGTGAAACAAAACAAACGAAATAGATGTATCTAGTGTAAAGCAAACAAAATAAAACAAATACTGAAAATATTAGGTGATAAGTATATCAAACTTCAAGTAAACAAAACAAATGTGTAAATATGGTAATTCTGAAGTATATTAACTACCAAAACTTAAGTGAACGATTATAAGGTTTTTTATTTTGCAGAAAACAATTCTTCAAATCAAGATGACATCTTTACATGTAGGCAGTTGCCCTAGTGGAAAAAAATTAACACGAATTATTGTTTATGCTCACGTCTGTAACACGAAATTCTTGGTGTTGGTGTATTTTACGTTTGTACGTTTTTACAGAAAAACAAACACTGTACGTCAATGTATCATTGCAC